TGAAGGGGGAATCTCTTTCTGCTTATTTAAACATTTTGTAAGGGATAGGATTGTTAAATTTAGTTATTAGAATTGGGATGTTAATGCAATATCAGTTATATCGTGTTTTACTCACTTTTTAGCTGTGGGAGGAAACTGGAGGACCCGGATGAAACACATGCAGAATGAGGGGGGGACAAACAAATTCGGTACAGAAAGGCACCCAAGTTGGGAATTGACCCCATCCCTTTCTTCCTGCGAGGCACGAGCGTTGCCACCTTGCCACACCATCGCCCATTTGTTTGCAAATGTTTTGTGTCTAGGAGATTCGGCCATTGACTGCGGCCAGCACTATTGGGAGGTGGTAGTGTCACGGGAGAGCAAGGCCTACGGAGCCGGTGTAGCCAACCGAGGCCTGGGCCGCTTCGAGCAGCTGGGTCGCACCGCCGCATCCTGGGCCCTGTACGTGAACACGTGGCTGCAGCTGAGCGTGGCCGCCAAACACAACAACAAAGCCCGCAGCCTGGAGGGCCCGGCCCCAACGCACATCGGAATCTACTGCGACTACGACAACGGTACCTTGCTTAAGCTCGCGCTGGCGGCAGCGGCTCATGGTTCTCCCGAGAACACATCCCAATCCCACACACGCAGGAACTCCCCGGTCCGTTTGAGTCTGTGAAGAGGGTGGTTTTCCGCTGCGGGTGACGGTACCAAAGAGGTGTGTAAAAACGGTGCATAATGAAAGGAAAACCCCGTGATTTCGTGTCCTGTTTACAGTGTTTCCCCCATCTTCGTTTTTTAGGCCCCTAAATGTTAAAGTTTTGTTGTCACGTCCAACTCATCAGTCCCGACTGCTGCACACCCTGCGACCTCCACTCGCAGCCTCACCCACGTGTGTGTGTGCGCTCATGTGCGTGTGCAGGTCTGGTGTCTTTTTATAACGCCGAGTCTAAGCAGCTGCTGCACACATTCCGTGTTCGCTTCTCTCAGCCCGTGCTGCCGGCCTTCTCCGTGAGTACCACGGCTGCCACCGCCTGCGCCAATCATCCTCCGCGTAGGCAGCCGAGGGTTGCAGCAGCAGTCTCATCATCCAAACTGTCAGAGTGGCTGCATTGCTCACCTGGCTGAGGGGGCATCGAGGAAGCTGGACTCCTCTTCCCTGTTAAAAGCTTCGTTTACTTGGGGCCATTGTTCAAAATATAAAGAGTGGCACTCATCACCTGATTACAGCAGTGAGCCAGGGGTGGAATTTCCACATTCATATGGTGGGGGTCAGTCTGTCCATAAAACAATCGCTATTACCACTGAACATTACCACTACTGCTACTGCTGTGACATCTGGGGTGGAGAGCCCAGCTCCTACCTTACTGCAGCAGGGCGATTGATGATCCTGTACTTAATGACTCCCGCCCCTCGCTCGCCGGCGGCCAGTCAGTCACGTATTTGTCACTCTTGTGTCACTACTACCATGGTCGCTGTTCCCGTGAACTTCCCTTGTTGATTCCTCCCCCCATGTTGAGGACTCGGTCAACCAGATCCCGTGTCATCTCATCCACACTGTTCAACCACCACCATACTGCAGGTCACAACACGAAGACTGTTGTGACAAGTATTGTTAGTGAGCACCTATGAAGGCTGGTACGGCCCATGAGGGGGTGGGTGGTCAGCACCATGCCCGGCCGCCTTTGTCTCCCTAGTGGCAATGTTTACACATCGGACCAGGTACTCATTTGAAGCTGAGTCGACCTAGGGGAGGTCCAGGACTGGTTCAGATAATTGTCACTGGTGTTGGCCACGAGCAGGAATTGAACTCGGGTTGGCAGGTTCGTAGCGCAGCGCGCGAACCATTACACTACTGCTAACTCAGCCATTCACCGCCTTACTCGCCCACTCACCTACCCAAGCAAGCTTGACTCCACAGATAAGACACTGAATGTCGAAACAGGTCCAGAGATTTCTGCCGTTGAACCAATGTTGCCGAAATTGTGCGCTCCCAGAAGGCGATGTGGCTGATGGGATGTGTAAAATAAATACTTGTATTTATATGTGGAGTGACAGATTTATGAAAGAGGCGAATTATCTGCTTGTTCGTCATGTGCAGGCATCTGCATGAGCATGGGGTAACCTCTTCTGAGGCCACCCAGAAGAGTTGTTCTGTGAACCCGAGACTGGCAGTGACCACGGTTCAATGCCGTTCAGGGTGATCGGCATATTTTTGTTTCTGCGTTCGCGGAAGCGGTCACGGTACAGCTCGTACGTCCAGAATGAGGGGCCTGCGACACATCCCAGCTGTAACACGTTCACCGCTTGTTGCAAAGGTTTACAGTTCGAATTCAGCAGGATGACCTGGTTAATACTGCTGTGAAATCCGTGCCATTTTCTTCACAGTGGACGTTAAGGATCGTGTGACGTCATTCGAAAAGAGTTGGCCAATGTGTGCCAGCGTCGTGGTCCACGTTTGAAAACTTGCCCACAAATGATTCGATGGGCATTTATGCAAGGCAGCATCGCCCCCCACATACTGCTTTTGAAACGTAGTGGCACCTTCCTTCACGATGATTGCCTTGTGCTGTAAGAGCGATGGCGCCAGTACCGGATGCACTCACGAGTTTAATTATTGGACCGAGTCGTGTGTGCCTGATGCGCGTGCAGGTTTTGTGCGGCTTGCTGTCAGTCCGCACTGGGCTGCAGGTGCCCTCCCACGTCCAGTCGCTGCAGAAAAACCAAGACAATGGCAGTGGCAGTTCTACCTCCAGCCTCACCACCTGACCACAGCACGGGCCTCACTGCCCACACGGCCGGCTGGCAGCGCTCCAGGCTGGCTCGATGTGGTACTCCTCGCCCAGCGATGGCACAGCCCCGCAACGCTACCGAATCGTGCGCTTCACACACACACACAATCGATTCGTACCGGAGTAGTCGCACACTCTACTCACTCGCACACCAACTTCGTCTCTTGCAAACCGCATGGTCCACTAACTTTAAACGAGCCTTCTCTTATTAAACACGCCGATTGAACAAGACGACCGCTTGACTCGTAACCGAATCCAGAGCAACCGAATGACGTTAGTCACGCAACCCCTGCGCCACAACACCCGTAGCGACTCGAGCTTGCGACAGCCGCGAACTTGCAATTTCAGCAAAGACGAGAAAGCGTCACCTGCATGTGCCGACTGTGCCCACGGAGCTGTCCGGCCGGCCGATGACCGCCACCTCCGTCCAGACCCGCAGACGCGTCAACCCTGCGGCCATGCCCTTCTTCGCTCCGGTTCTAGGAGTCATCGTGCCCTTCATACCCGAGTCTGACGGACGATTTGTACGTCTGCCAGCCTTCGATGACTTAAACCTCCGGCCTACCTCCGATGCCCAGGGCACGGTGCTGTGGGCAATGCCTGGCAATGTCACTGTTAATCCTGAAGCGATGGCTTCATCTTAGCCGGCGTGGATTTCAAACAGCACACAGAGAAACATGTAAATGCACACACACTCTTTGCGTATGTAAAACCATCCGTTCCTGAAGCACTACAAATAAATCTGATAAATCTATTGCGATGGTCACCTAAGACTAGAGGACCACAATGCAGTTCTTGAGGAACTGCTGATGGTTTGTGCATAATGCACATAGGCTGAGCAGTGTGTACATGTCTGTGGTGTTGTCTGAAACTCGTGGTTTCCTGGCAGCCTGCACTATTATTCTGTTACGTTGGCTTTTTCTCGTGATTTACAGATTTGATTGGCTAGCGTGGCTTGCCGCAGGCCTCTTATCTTAGCTCCTTAACTCAACATAATCAACGTAAATGCATGTGTGACATCTGTGTCGCTGGTAGCTCGCCGCATCACACCATTACGCTGCTGTGTGTGTGTAACCGTGTCACACTGGTGTGCCGCTGTGTGTGTATAAGGCTGCAGGTTTACTGTTTGGTCCATTGTATGGGCACCTTAATATATGATGAAGGCCATGCCAAGTTTGCATAATGCGTCCGTCCATAACCCAGTGAATATTAGAGCCGATCGCTGAGGCTGGCATCGGAGTGGTCGCCACAGGTTCGGTGACCAGGGCGAAGACTGAGGAACGGATGGTGGGAGACTGTTAGGGAAAATCTATAGGTCGCTGTGCGATTCTATGGTTCTGTGTGAGTATGTAATGCTGTGGTTTTAGATGAGATTTAACCAACAACCACTAAACCGAAAACTGTTTTCAGAATCGGTTACCGGTTCCCAAAGTTAGAAACGGCGACTAACTTCAGTGGAATGTTAACGACTGCCCAGAATGAAACTCACCGCGCTGTTTCAGCGACCACTCCGGGAGATTGAATCAAACCGGTGACCTCTGGATTGCCAGTCCAGTGCTGCTGTGACTCTGCTGCGGCAGCTCCTGTAATTTCTCAGTTTAAAACCAAACCCATTGTGTTTATTGCTGTAGACATTTCAATCTGTGGCAAACCGGTGTTAACCGGTTGGAACCCGGAATGATACAAACCTGATTTGAGCGGCAATGGTAGTGATCTGTGTAGTGTGGGTGGTGCCACGATACGCGGGGGTTCCAGGGGCACCCGTTGGGGGTCGGCCGTGACCCCCGGTGGCATTTGGCTGCATTCCTAACGGAGCCGCTGTTGATCTTGCTAGCTATGTTTGAAGCGATTGCGAGACCGTGCGATTTACAGTGTCCGCAGGATACGGCAACAAAGCAACCCGATTATTTACAGACACCATGGGCACATCCTGGCATGGCAGTGGGTACCCCAAGATGCCCGTCTCATTACATCTGCTTTGATGTTGATTCGTTGTAACTGAGGGGGGGGGGACGAAGATGCGGATTGCGGTTGTGCGAGTGTGGTGAACACCTCCGCCGTGGCGGTCACTGCGTGCCCTGTGCCCCGTATCACGGGCTCGGCTGCTGCGGGCGCGACTCGCTCCACTGACGGTGGAAGGGAACGAGACGCGGTGTCCTCGTGTTTGCTGTTGCTCTGTGCAGCCCCCCATGAATAAACGTGGAGCTGTAATCACGGCATAGGACGGCACATGGTTCCCTCTGTGCTTTATTCACTCGAGTCGGCGTCAAACACAAACGCATTGGTGGTTGTGTGGGTTCATGTTGAGAGACATCATCCCGATACTCGGTCCCTCCACTTGCTCCAGATTCAATCCCAGATAATGACAAGAATACGCTCACTCCTGCCTACCTCTCCCTCACTCCCCTCCACACACTCTTGAGTACAGATGCTGGCCGTAGAGTAGGACGTGTGCTAGTGGCAGGGCCATGCCTGTGCCCCTGGTGATGTTGCATCTGTTCCCTGTCCGTACCACTTCCTTTGTTACGGTTGTGCCCGGGGCGCTCTGCGTCCCCCAGGGGAGGCAGAGCGAGCCGTGTGGCAGGCGCCCCTGCTCTCGGCAGCGAGTGGCACGGAATTGCAGACTCGGATCGCCACTCGGGCCTCTAGGAGAGCGAGAGGCCGTCGTCGCTCAGAGGGCGACGAGGCGCAGGCTGGGCGAGCGACATGGCAGAGGAGGAGGAGGGCGGCGGCACGGGGTGCAGCAGGGAGAGCTGCTCGGCGCCCCGCACCGGCAGGTGCCGTCCGCGGTAAAAGAGGACGGCCTCCGGAACCGAGGCGAAGGGCGGAGAGTTTCCTCCGAGCACCACGTGGCCGCCCTGGTCCCACGACACACGCATGTGCACAAACCCCGCGGCGCTCCTGGGGACACCAGGGGGTGGGTGGAGTGTGAGGGTGCGCGAGGCGGCCACCGTTTCATCACTCAGATCGTGAACCTCGCACGCGACGATACAAGTTTCAAGATAAATAAGCGGATGGTACCAGGGTTGCTGTCAGGGTTGCTGCGTGTGGTGGTGCCGTGCATGGGAGGGGGGTGCTGTGCGGTGGAAGGGGGGGGGGGCCTCGTCACCGGAGCGAGAGAGAGAGTTCACGGGGGTCGCTCTCGCTGGGCCGCACCAGGAAGCTGGATGTGCGGTGCTGCTGCAGGATCTGCTCGGCTTCCACGCGGCCGATGTCTCCATGGAACCAGCTGCTGACAGGGCACGGGGAACAGTCGCAACACCCACCAACACCACGTTGACCACCATCGTCATCGCTACCCATCACAGTGACCATCACCACAATAGCCACCTCATCACCACCACGACCACCACCCCACACTCCATGACTTCATCACTTAGTCCAAGAGCCCAGATGATGTATCTCACTTGTCGGTTCCACCTCCGGTAGCGTAACTAGAGGTTCCAATTCCCTAATGTGACCAATGACTGCATCGTGTGAGACCTGTTTGACGTGAGTGGGGTTGTCTCGTAATCCACTCTTATTAGTAGTGTAAAGAAATCGGTACCACAAATTTTCTGCCTTGGATCTCTCAGGGTCCAGGTGCGAGAGGGGTCGCCTCCTTCCCCCGACACATTCCCCCGTCAGCCTGGGTCTATTATCAGGGCTGTGCATTCCACTGTGAGAGAGTTTTCAACACAAGACCGGCACCAGATCTTGGCATAAATCAGTTCCTGCCACCCTAACACAGACGGCAATTCTGTGTTCGGTGGTAATGGAAGTGGTGTTGGTTTCGGTGGTGTTGGGTGTATTGTTTGCTGTGGTGTTGGTTGTGGTGTTGTTGGTTGCGGTGATGGACGTGCTTGTTTTGGTAGTGGTGGAAGTACGGGTCAAGTTGGAGAGGCGGCAACCCTTTGCTGTGTGTAGATGTGTGTCTGATTGTATCTTAACCTTACTCTTTGGTTCTATTGGGTAAAGTCACGTAGGTGAAAATAAAATAACAAAAAATCACGACGTTTCGTCCACAACACAAGCGGCCTTCATCAGGTGACTTTACCCAATAGAACCAATGAGTATGGATCCTAGCAGTCACGAAAGCTTTAAATCTAGAATGTATCTTAACCTGTGTGTAAGCACTTTTATGTATGAGAGTATGTGTGTATTAGCGTGTGTGGGGAGCACTAGTGGAGCAGTTAGCGTGCTGTGCCACGAACCTGGCATTCGATTCTCGTTCACAGCCAACACCAGTGACGATTATCTGAACCTGTCCCGGGCCTCCCCTAGGTCAGGAGTAGAAATTCTACCTTCCTATGGCAAGGGCAGGTCTATCATAGGTCAAACACTGTTGAATTATGCACAGCGTAAACTCATTTTATCACCCTCGCAGAGAGAGCCGATGGGCTGAGGAAACCCACATCCAGGATGTGAGCTCCCCCGCCAAGCCGCCGGGTTCTGCATCCGCGCTGTCCCTGGCCATCGCTTGCTCGGCGCACGCTCTGCAGCTGCTGGTGCTGAATCTATGTAGTACACTGTGTTGAACTTCTTTCGCTCCGTACATAGCCAACCGTGGGGGACAACAACATACTAAACACAAAAAGCAGTACTAAAGAAATTAGTTTTCAATCTAAAAGTGCATGGCTCCAGTGGCTGCAACTCACAGCTGCTGCCCCATGGCACGGTCGGCCGTGTCCGTCCCCGCTCGGTTCCCCTGGGGCTCCTCCGCGGCCATCCCCACGGGCTCTGCATCTGTGTCACCGTGCGCCAGGCTCGAGCGGAGGCTGTCTCGCCCATCGCCGGATGACTCCGGACCTGGACAGGAGGAGCCAGACTGGTGGAATTTTACGGTAAGGTCATCGTCGTTTGACGTCAGTATTCCACCTGTACAAGTCCCTTGAGATGGAGCGGCCCGGTGAGAGTGCTGGTTGGCCAGGTGACCCAGATACAAAGATCCCCACTATAGCCTTAACAGACTTGGGGCAAATGCTGTTAGCAAGCACCTATGAAGCACGGCACACGAGGGAGTGGGTGGCCAGCACCACGCCTGGCCGCCTTTGTCTTCCCAGTGGAAGTGTTTACACATCACACTGGGTACTCATTTGAGGTTGAGTCGACCTAGGGGAGGTCCAGGACTGGTTCAGATATTCGTTACTGGTGTTGGTGGCCGTGAGCGGGAATCGAACTCAGGACGCCGGGTTCGTAGCGCAGCACGCTTACCCCTACACTACCGCTCCAAACACAGCAAATATGCACACACGATCACATGTACATACTGTACACTTACACAGCACACAAGTAATGGCACGCGTATGTTGTCACTCTATACCTTGTGCAGAATGCATTCAGACAATGAACATCACCCACAATCAAGCACACTCACCGAGAGGTGGCCATGGACGCCGCCAGGTCACATGGAATGCACCTATGGCTGTAACAGCTGCAGATGTTGAGTGTCAACGAGTGGTTTCAATCAGTTGCGATAAGCGGGCGTGTGGCTATGTGTGCCTCGGAGAATGCTCCATGCTTGCCCAGCAAGGCTTTGGTACGAGATTGGCTGCTCTCAGGAAGGTGTAGGGAAAGTAGAGAACTTAAATGCAACTCACCCACCCAACACATTGCAGGTGTGCTGGTTTAGTGGGTGAGTAGGTGAGTGGGCAGTGACGTGATCCAGCGGCATCACGGTTCGAATACGGTGGTCACCCTGACTAGTACTGCAATTGTGTAGTACCCTTAAAAATACTCCGCGCCGCTTGCTTCACAGTGGATGCTCAGAATCCCGTGACATCGTTCTCAAGAGAAGCCCATCGTGTCCTGCAGTCAAGGTCCCAATTTGGTAAATTTTAAAATTATACAAAAATTCCTCAGTTGTGCTCACACAGCAGCATCAGCGATCATCGCCCCCCTCCATCTGGCAAATGATGCATGCCTCACGTCTCATCCTGGTCTCTAGGTTCCCATATGGTTAAACAAGCTGTAAACAGGTCACCACACTTCTCTCTCTGCTTCTTCCGTCGCCCTGCTCAACTGTGTAATTTCCTCTCCCATCATCGTCTCTCTCCCCCCCAGGCTCTCACTGCCGTAACTACGCTAGATTCAAGTAACGCGTCAACTCTTGACGATTACAGATGTAATGGTGCTGTTTGTTGCTGGCCGCTTAACGTTGTGAGTCTTTTTAGGCCTTTGCTCTGCAGTCCTAAAGTGTGGACTCCACTCGCGCTGCCTTGCAGCAAGAAGGACCTGAGTTTGATTCCCGATTCGGGAGCCTTTCTGCGTGGCGTATGTTCTGTATGAGTCTCCTCCGGATTTTCTGGTTTCCTCCTATAGCTAAACCCTCACACACCGGGACGGACATCGGCCAAACATCTCAGTGCTGAAAAACTCCCTGCAAATTACCAATTGGGGTCGTGTAGAGCAGCAACATCGCTCCCCCCCCCCACCGCTGCGACAAACACTTGGCAGGACCCTCCTGGGAAGTGTCAAGACTCGGCGAAACCTTCACGTGTTTGTGGTGCGCGGCTGTTGGGGTGGGCTGGGCGATGTGTCTGTGGGGGCACACGCTCTCACACACCGCCAGGCATGATGCTGGGCCCCGCTTCCCCGTCCAGCTGCCCGACTGGCGGAGGCCACGGCAGCTCGTCTGTGCAGCTCACGTCCGCTGTGGAGGGCGCCACAGACAGTGCCGAGTTGACGCAAGGGCCGACGCTACCCCACACGGTACCGCATTTGCCTCTTTGTCGCGGAGGTTCACGGTTCAACTCCGGCGGCTGCCCTGGTTAATACTGGCGTGCGTGCGAACCATAACAACACTACCGTGCACCGTCTGCTTCACAGTGGATGTTAAATATCCTTTGACATGATTTGCAAGGGTAGGCCACTGTATGCCCCTAGCGTCAAGGCCAAATTAGAAAGATTACACCGCAAACTTGCCAGGACCCTCCTGAAAAAGAGTTCTAAGACTCGGTGAGGGTTTTCAGGCTAAACAAGCGAAATTATAAAAATTACTGCAGCATTCGGTCCTCACGCCGCCTTGTCTTCCAGGCGCATTGCCCGTCGGTTACGATACTGCTCATTGGTCACATGACAGGATTATGCATGCCACCTGGGGAAAATATGGTGGCACAGTGGCTCGCCACCAGACGGTTAAGAGTTCAATCCTGCTTGGAAGTTGACTCATCCCATCATCCCTCTGGGATCGATAAAATGAGTACCACTTTATGGGGGAAGTCAACAGTGGTTGTCCTGTGGAATGTCCACCACTGGCTCAGGGCTGCAAACAGGAGATGAGCACCCACCCCTCAATGTTAATTTGAGCGTTTTTTTGGGATAAATTCACTAAGTTTCAAACAACAGAGAGAAACGTGTACAACGGACTTAGCCTCTGTGCATTATAAAAATCATCAGCAGTTCCTGAAGAACTGCATTCAATGTGAGCAATGTGACGGACTGCCAGCAGCAGCGATGCAGTCATTGACAACTGTGGACCGGTTTGCTCCTGGCTCGGACTCCTCGGCATGGTACGGTCACCGCTGCCCAGAACGCGCCAACGCAACAATCCTGGCATTACCAGCGAAGGCCTGCGAGATGCAGTCGCGCTTCCACTCCCAGGGCTGGTCGTATTCCTCTGGAGGCCGATCGTCATCCTTGGGCATTCGACTGTCTCGGGCGGGGGGCTGCGAGGAGGGCTCCGAGGGAACGGAAGAAGGGGCGGGGGGAGCGTGCGGTGTAGAGGGGTGTGAGGGCAGGAGCGCCAGGGCCTGGGTTGGGCTCGAGGAGGCAGGTGGGTCGCAGTCCGGATCCGGCGGCGCCGTTTCGGCGAGTCGACCGGGGTCCCCAGGTGGCGCCTCCACCCTCTCGTTGCCAGCCGGGGACTCCGGCTGGGGGAGTCCCCGGGCACAAGGGGGCTCGTAGGGCGTGTCGTACAGGTGGTGCAAGGGGAGCGGCCTGACACTCCCCTCTTCCTTCGCCTCCACATCTGACGACCAGGACACATGGTGGCACCGCCTTGTGAGGCCGCGGCGCCACCTCGTGCATTGCCAATCCTTAACCTCCGCATAGATCATAGATCACTGCCTGATCTGACTGCTATGCCGGGAACAACAACACTGCAATCAGTGGAGCGTGCATCTCCAAAATACATTTTCAAGCCAGGTTTATAAACGGAGGTAACTTTGTCCGATTTCTCACAATACACTCCAATCATGCATTGAATCGAAGCAAGGGTTCTGTTTGTTGGACCTTTGGGCCTATACACGGCAAAATGTTTTAAATGTAAATATTAACGTGTGAAGCGGCTAGGCGGATGGTGTAGGGCTCTGATAAATGGGTCTCACACACGACCCAGATGTAATCATTCGGGCAATCCTCCACATGCTGCCTTGGGAAGGTGACAACTTCTCAGAGAGAGATGAAAGCCATACCTGCCGTGGAGGGAGGGAGGATGGGCACCTTCCTGCAGCTGATGTCGCTCTGTATGGGGGGGCACGGCGGAGTTGGGGGGGCCGGTCCCTCTGCAGGGTCCTCGCGCTCCTCTGATGATGCCACCTGTGCACCCCAGTCCCCTTGTACACGGTCACGTCGAAAGGGCCCGTTACGTCCTGCATCGTCAGGCCTGCGACTTGGGAGCTCAATGTAGCACGGGCATCGCGAGCAGCCACCGTGCCAGCTCCCAATGGCTGGGACCACGTGCTTAGTGCTGTGAAGTTTAAGATTAATTTGCTTACAGGATGATAACTCAAGAGGCCAGAGCAGAGAACCGCATTACTGCAAATAATGCGAATATAACAATTAGTCGGTTTCCTGTCATGAAAGTCGGTTCGGACAAGTTCCTTTTAAAAACCCTGGTCGAACACGGACGGGCGGTGACCTGTGTCGTGGAACCAAACTGTGGCTGCAGGTTATGATCGTGGGGGGGGGGGGGGGGGTAGCGGGTACCCAGAGGGAACTGGAATCAAGCTTGAGGGCCGAATGACGCAGTGAGCACATGGTGACCTGCTGCCCATTGCAGAGCCTGGCTCTCGCGCCCTCGCTGGGCCACACGGGTGGCTCTTCTCCACCACGACGCTGGTCAATATTACGTGTTCGGTTTGTAGAGCTTTGTGTTAAACGAGGTCCCATATCTATCAGAGAAAGATTATTGCCTGTAACATCTGGCAGTTTGCCAGCACTGATTCGAGCAAGCCGAATTGCTTATGAGGCACTGAATGTCAAAACCCATCCAGATATAGCTTGTGTTGAACCTATGCTGCTGCTAGATGCATACCCAGAAGGAAGTCCGTGCAGCTGGGATGTGTACAATATATTATGGTTTATGTGAAGGGATAGATGTGTGATGGACGAGTGCGCTCTCTGCATATTTAATCAGTGGTAATGTAGCATTGGCGTTGTTGCACATCCTCTTTTCCAGAAGACTGCAGGTAGTGGCGCGTCTCTGTTAAACTCTTACGTACAAACACTTGTCAATGGAGTTGGCCAAACATCCCAATATAGGACCACATAACTTTTGTAATAATTGGTAGCGCTGGTTCTGGATGCCTTGCCGCGCCTCTGTATCTATGTTTCTCTGATCGCTCTCTCTCTTTGAATCATTCTCTCTTCTCCTGAGAGTGAATGACAACTGCTCACGTACACATTCCAGATTATTGTTTTGACTGGTGCAGCGGTGGTGAGGCTGAGCGAGCCCCACTCACCTTGCCGGCCACACGGATGAGCCGATGTTTGGGTGATGCGGACGTCAGGCCTGGTGGTGGTTGCGGCGGCAGCGAGGGCCTGACGGCCTCTTTCGTCTCTCCCTCGCCGGGCCTCGCGGCCCCACTCTCTCTGAGGCCGTCGCTCTGGTCGGTCGTGGTGTAGGGGTCGGCAAAGTCGCGGTCGCGCTGGGCCCTGTACACGCGCTCCAGGTCGGGCTCGACCAGCACCACTCCACTGCACAGAGAGCAGCAGCCATCACCAGCCGGCCACTACCATCGTGAACGACAATTGAGGCGGTGCCTATCTGCTGTCCTGTCTCGATGCAACCTGCTTATCATCACCTGGTTACGACTCTCCAGATGAATGTTGCCAAAACGAATGTCGCGAGTTGCGGAGCGGTGGTGTCAATCGTGTGGATCACCTCTTGCAGCAATGCGCAACTTGCAAAGCTACGCGCAGCGTTCGAACGGGGGGGACACCGTGGACAAAGGGGCAGGCAGCCCTCGAGAAGTACTTACTGTGTGTAATCACGATTGATTAAAATGTGCAGGTAAATTTAAAATTGAGAAAAATTGGACCCATGACGCCGGCACCCGATACCCTTGCAAAGACGTCACGGCTTATTTAACGTACACTGTCAAGCAGAATGCGCGTAGTATTATGGTTATTGGATTCGAACCTCCGCAACAAGCGGTGAACGCGCTCAGGGAGGACTCCAGTCAAACCGTGCGTTTCCTGCCACCACACGGCCAGGAATGATCCTACAGCCTCATTCCCTTCGCAGGCTCAGCGCAGCCATGCGGGACCTCACAACTCCTGCGGTGACCCTCATTCCTGTCGCTATCTCTCACCTTGGCCACTGCAAATCGATCTACGGCATCCACACATCACTCAAACGTCATCACTCATGCTGGACTACTAACTCAGCGGCTTCCAGTCTCATTTCAACCACAGGTCAACTGTCTATCAGATCCTCCACTGACTCACGCCTACATACCTCCCATTTAATCTCCCTCCACTTCCCCCATCCCATTCTACTCCCCTCCACGCACTGTCCTACCTCTCCCCTCTCATCTCACTCTATCCCCCTCCACGCACTCTCATACCTCTCCCCTCTCATCTCACTCTACTCCCCTCCACGCACTCTCCTACGTCTCCCCTCTCATCTCACTCTATTCCCCTCCACACACTCTCATACCTCTCCCCTCTCATCTCACTCTATCCCCCTCCACACACTCTCATACCTCTCCCCTCGCATCTCACTCTATTCCCCTCCACGCACTCTCATACCTTTCTTCTCTCATCTCACTCCCGTCCAGCAACCAACACTTTCTGTGGAAGCTCTCAGTCAACCTGGGAGGTCGCTCGCTTCTGCTCCTCTGCTGCCCCGACCGCCTGGAGCTGCCTTCCCCCAGACACCCGTGCTGTCGACTCTCGGTCACATCCAGGTCCTCCGCTTCTGCTCTGCCCTTTAGAGTTGACAAACGCCTCCTCTCTCTCCCACGTGATGCGCGTCCCACCGCTTTGTACGAGCTGAATTACAATGGCAGAGATGTGACTGTGTACACAGATGTATATGCGTGGGAGCGGTGGCGCAGTGGTTAGCACACTGCGCCATGAATCCTGCGACCCAAGATCGATTCCCGCGCACGACCAACGTCGACTTAGCCTCAAATGAAAACCTGGTTCGGTGTATAAACATCGCAAATAGGGAGACAAAGGCGGCCGGTCGCAATGCTGCCCACCACCCTTCGTAGATGCTCGCTAACGGCACTTGCCCCAACACTCTGTGTACGCGTGTGTGTCGCTGTAATTCACCAGGGCAGCTCCGGCTCGGCGCTGTAGTCGGGCTGTGGGGGCTCCGGGGGTGGCGGCCTCCGCGCCCCGCCGAAGCCCAGGCCTCCCAGGTGCTCTCTGATCCAGCGAGACATCGCGCCTGCCCGCCCGCCCGCCCAGGAATCAGAGACGTGGGTGGAATAAACGACGTGCGGTGGTGGCCCGGGGATCCGATGCTCGAATCATAAATGAAAAGGGATCAAAGACTGGAGGTAGCGGCTTGGACTCTCAGTTCGCTCCTCGTCACCCCGTCCCTAGTGAGAGCCGCGGGGTGTAGAGGGATGCGAAGACGAGTTGATAATGGGGTCTGCACGCACCTACTCCCTCTCCCGCCGCCCTCTCGCATACCCGTGCGCCCCGTTGCACGCGGCCACGCCCCACGTGACTGCGTGCAGAGGGAGGCTCGGACCTGGGGACCCCGCGGTCTCCAACCACTCACCCACCTGACTCAAGCCACCCATCCAACCACTCACCCACTTACCCCCGTGTTCAGGATAACAATCTCTCCACCAATCGCTGGAAATTTACCACAAATTCATCAGTCATGATCAATCCACTGCTGGATGAAGGCCTCCCCAATCTACCGTCACCTCACAATCTTGCGACACATCAATCCACCCATCTGAACTAATTTCATCGCTCCACCTCTTCAGTGGACGTCCTACTCACTGTCTGCCACTGTTATTCTTCAACATCGTCCACCCTACCTTACAGCCGTGACGTGTCCTGCCAAAGCCCACTCACTTCCTAAGTTGGAAGATGTCATTAACCTGCCGTCTCTACTCCGTTTCTCTTTCTCTCTGTAATGCCAAGCGCGACCCTCTCCACGCTCCTTTGCGCAATGTTTTCGTTGTGTTAATGCCCGCTTATCTCACAGATGTCCCGCATAATTTATGAGTGGAGGGATGCGGATGCTGTAAGCAGTTCACACAACCCCCAGGGACCCTGTGATGTTTACAAGCACGAGCCCAACGCGTCCCACGAGCGCATACATCCATGCACACATTTCTCAGCGCAACCACTCACCTCTTCGTGGAAAACACAATGAGCATCCACCACATCTGCCCACGTAAAAATACGAGCATTTTTTTACATTTACGGTCATTTGCACGAACTTCCAGATGCTCATAATTAATGTGTAGGGAGACATTGAGGCTTGTCTGCTTATTCGGTTCCTCATTCTCCACAAAGACACTCATGATTATTCTGTAGCGTATTCTAGGCTTGCATCAAACTCGGACCCATGTAATGAAGAGGGTCCTTGCCTATAAGCAATTGGTTTAAGCGAGCCTGACTGCTGGTAAGACAGCTGCTGGCAAGACAAATAATGTCAGCCAGTCCAGTGTGCTTGCATTGAATAAATTGTTTCGATGATGCACTCCTAAATGGCCGTGTGGTAGACGAAGTATCAAAACACTTCCGAGTAGTCAAATTTTATAACTCTTAACTCGAGGCTCCTGTATTGAATTGGCTTGCCAGCTCGTGTGTTTGACTTCACACGGGACCATTAACATGCAAGCGTGTAAAGCTCCTGCTGTGGTTCACACAACGCTCCTGCCTTGTCTGCCTGGGTTTGCTCGCCGACAGCACTGGCACGTCTAGCATGTTACACATGGAGACATGTGCCGTGTGTAGTTTATCTAGCACGCTCTTGTGGCGAGACACGGCAAGACGTGCGTACTGCAGCTGTCTGTACACGCGTCTGCTTTGTAAATCAGTCAAGCCACCTTCCTTCGTATGAAATACAGCATCGTAGTGGCTCCTCGTGGTGGTGATTTAGATGTATATATTTTTAAACCAAACCTTTATTCGACAGATTTACAAAATATGGTACGGTTTCTGACACTGCATATAAAGAACAGCCACGAACAGCAACTCCGTTGTTGGCACGGACGACAGCAGGAGGCACCATGATAAGTCGTCTTGCAGAATGGCGAAGCACAGGTGGATGTTTGGAGAGGAGTGGCAAGAGAAAGACTCAAACTCAAGGGAGGTGGAGGGTTAAGGTGAAGAGGATCGATGAGAATATGGTACAGAAGAGAAGGTTTCAACATGGGCAGAGTGGTGGGGGTGGAATGTTGAGTTGGAGTGTCGAGTTTTGAGGTACCAAGGGGCCTGCAATAACCACAAATTAACTGTTTGCTTGAGATTACTTTTAGAAGTGACTTGCTCTTCAGGAGGGAAAACAGATTAAACTGAGATTACCAACAAAGTGTAACCTTGTACATCGCAGGTGGAAATGATTATGGAACAGTGGGGGTTGTTAGGGTTGTATTTACAGTCGCGGCTCAGCTCTGGCATGGCCTTTACCATTGGCTCAGCTCAGGCTTGAGCCACTCCGTTACTTCCAAAGATGCCTGAGCGGCTCAGCCGTGGCTTTGCTCAGGATCGGCTCACGGAATTCCCGGGTGTGGCTGGGATCATGCTCAGAGCTGGTTCATGTTAAGCACGGCTCTGAGTTGGATCACTTGATCCAATCCAGAGCCAAACCTGAGCCGAGCCGTGACTAAGAATACGGGCCTGAGTCTCTCTCAGAACCATACAATGTTAGGAGTGCTGCGGACAGTTGCCCAGCTCACACCTAGGCTCCTGCAGCATTGTAAGTTGAATGTAATTCTAATGTATGCTCCAACAGCAAGCCATGAAGATGCAGCACACAAGTTTATTTAGAAATTAACCATGCTGGCATATAACGACCGTACTTCACCGCACTGATCAGTGCGGGTTTGTGATATGGGCAAAATAAATGCAGATGAATTCCTAATGACAGATGTTTATTGTGGAGGCTTAGAGCCAGTCAAACGTGTGTTTAGGAGAGCCATACAAATTAACCATCCTGGCTTGAAGCATAAGTCCATAGGGAGGATACACTTTACATGTGACCTTTAAGATACTATTAGCCTGCTGTAAAAGTTGTTGTGTAAACCCTAAGTCTGGTACATGTATGGCGTGCTTAGGTGTTGCTAAGCGACTGTGATGTTTATTGATGACACGCTGGTGCAGTTGGCTCTGCTGGCGGTGCTAAGGGAGGCGGGGAACCCCGTGACGTGCGGCTGCACTGCTCGGTGTTTCCGTGTGGATCGTACGGCGGTGGCGACACGCAGCGCACTGCCGTGTGAACGTACAGGACGTGTATCGGGGAACCGAGCTCCCTCCCTCCTCCGTCACTCACGATGTATGAGAACGAAAAGACCCAAGCAGGCGAGCAGCGCGTACTGTTGGGACACAATGCAGATGGCAGTATTATCACAAATGATTGTTCAAAGGCTAAAAGAAAACCACAGGAACACAAATACAAGTGTCGGCAGTCGCCGAATGTGCCGGCTAACAAGGACACACGATTTTATTTGATGATGTTGATGTTCTATGCAAAATGAATTTCTTTTGGCCCAGACTAATTAGATAATCTACTGAAATTCAGAGAAATAGAAATAATCTCAACGAAGCTGACTATAGGTGACTTGGAAACACATCATTAAGTAAACACATGACAACCTTAATAACCTGTGTTTACATTAGTTGAAACTAAAACAGCATTATTTTACTCATCATTTAGTCAAAATAAGTAATCAGTATCACCATGTAAATCTGTAACTCAAATTTGTATTCCTTCTCACGTAATTTAATTACAATGTACGTGACTTAATGAACCTCTAGGTATGACTTCCTGCCACATCCTGCTTCCTTTTGGGTGATAACTGCTGGCATCGCACACCCTCATTTAAGGCCGAAGGTTGGAGGATATTTTCACAATTCTGACAATTGTCTGATAATGCTGCTTGTAACTATGAGTTAAATGTCGTACCCCATCTTTAAATGTGTGAAGATTGCTCTCCAACACACCGGTACAGTGCCGAAGCAGTAATACATGAGCACGTGACATCTTTATCAATTGGTTGTGTGGGGTGGAGGGTATACGACACACATTTTACTCACGTGGCAATGACTAAAAAAATATATTTTCAATTATAATATTGATTGCCAATTCCAACTTGTTGAATTTAACATGAACACAATGCTCATCATTACGAAATACACAAGCACGTGAAATCTGGTAACTTACCTTAAACTTGGGGTAGTCGTTCATCAGAATTGTCACAATTCCAATGTAGGGAACAAACCTGCAAAAGAAGAGCCCTCCTAAATATCGTTGGCATTACCAAGCAGTTGTGATACAAACGCTTTCGAGTCTCAGAGAACGTATCAACGATTAATCGTGCTACATTGCTCATCATTGAAAATGCTTGCTGTACAGTGTACATATCCAAGGGTGTGCACGAGATTATTTGTCTAACCAGGTGAGAACTCAAGAGACCGGAATGAGTCATTTTGAAGTGACCTGGGGAATTAGCCTGCCAGTAAGGTGTAATGATTGCTGCAGTGTGCATAGTCCAAATCGAGTAATTTACAGGTAAGTTTGCAAATTTGGACCTTGATGTTGGCAGACAATGGCCTACTCTTGCAAATTACATTCGGGGGTCTTTAATGTTCACAGTGAAGCAGATGGCACATACTGATACCACAAACGATAGATAAATTTAGTTGCACAGTTGTTTCTACCTCCAAAATTCATGGTTACTTGATAACCCCACTCAATTCAAATGGATTTTTTAAACTCGCTGTTACGTCATGAAGACATTGGAACCACTACATTTATGTCACCTAAGGTGATACCAACAAGTAAAACATCTGGTCTGGGCCAAGGAAGCAGAATTTTGACAAAAGCAGTAGCTGTTAAGAGGCGATCTCCCACTGAGCACAGTTCTTTGCAGAGGCTTTGGTTATTGGAGCAGAGTGAGATAATAGGGGAAAGGCAGGCAGAGTAAAGTTCATGCAGGGTTTTCAAACCAATGATGGATATATTTCAATAGATCTTGGGAGCCATTAGAGGGTTGACGCAAAGGAATTGCAGATTCATACCCGCGTGCCCGGCCCACCACATCCTTGCGCTCAAGCCAGTTTTGGCCTGGCTTGTACAGGCCACGGTCATCCACGGAGTTGTTGTCTCCTTTCGTTAGAAACTTCACCTCTCCGTTCTCTCTGCACCAGGACACATCACGGAACCGATGGTAAGCACATTACTCCACATTCTGCCCTCCCCACTCAACATCAGACATCTTACGATAATCACAAAGGTCCAAGCTCAAGTAAATGACGACCATTCCACTGTGCGTTGTAGGGGTAACTGATGACTGGTAAACTGGTGACCATTTTCGGATTCGGTTACCGGTTCTGAAAGTCAAGAACCGGTAACCGATTCCAGTGGAATGTTAATGCACCAACTGCTGAGCCGGGAGATGGAATTTAACTGGTGACCTCTGGATTGCAAGCCCAGTCGACTAACCATTACACCAATGTGGCAGCTCACTTCAACTCTCAGTTAAAATCTTAACACGTTATTTTGATTGCTCGAGAACAGCGGTTCCCAACCTTTGAGTGTGCAGACTCCTTTTCAACCTCCAAACATTTCGTGGGCCACCACACGCTACTAGTTGTTTTACACTCCGTTATATATGGAAATCTAACGTAACAACAAATAAATATGCACTCAGTGCATGAACGTATTTATATTGAGTAACTTACTAAATGAGATGGATGGTGTTGTTCCACTGACTTCAAAGACAGGATGTCAGGTTGGAGATATGACAATTTTAGCCTTAAATGTGATTCCACATCCAGCCTACTTCGACACTTTGATTTTAATGCAACAAGCATGGCAAATTCACTTCCACAAACATGTGGCAAAAGACATCAGGCACTTCGCTGCCTTGTCGGAGAGTTCTGGGTACTCAGAACCAACGCATAAACAGAAGCCTGTTGGATACTTTTGTGTGAAGATCAGCTTTAAAGAGTTGTCACATTAAAGATGTTAGGTTGTCTTGCACGTGTGTTCATGTGTTTACCGTCACACACAGACCAAAATAAAAACAAAAAATACTACTTAAGCATACTTGTAAAATAAATTACAGTAGTCGGTTTTAAAAACTATATGAAAAAAAATCCATTGGAATTCTACATTTCCTTGATGAGAATCTTATTATTTTTTGTTTCCGTGGACCCCCTGTAGTAGCCTCGGGCACCACCAGGAATCCGTGGACCAAAGGTTGGGGAAACGCTGTTCTAGAGAATTATTTATGTGCCGCAAATCGCTAACCAGGCCTTTCCCTTTATTTTTTCCCATGCGGTTACCGGTAATGCAAAGAAACCGATAGTAGCCACCCGAGTTGTGAGCATTCTTTCCGTGCATGGTGTGTGTACTTTTCGTGGATTTTGATGACGCGGTGGACGATGGGGATTTCTCGTCCCTCCACCTTGAACACCACGATCTCCCCTACGCGAATTGGCGTCTCTTGGTGGTTTGTGAGAAAGAGCAGGTCTCCGCGGTGAAACGCCGGTTCCATGCTGCCACTGCAAAGACAAAGATCCCCAGTATAGCCTTAATAGAGTGTTGGGGCAAGTGCTGTTAATGAGCACCTATGAAGGTCGGAACGGCACACGCAGGGGGTGCGGTGGCCAGCAACACGCCCGGCCGCCTTTGTCTCCCCAGTGGCAATGTTTACACACCACACCAGGTACTCATTTGAGACTGAGTCGACCTAGGGGAGGTCCAGAACTAGTTCAGATATTCGTCACCAAAGTTGGCCGTGAGCAGCCATTGAACTCAGATCGCCGGGTTGGTAGTGCAGCGCACTAAAAGCTACACTACTACTCCCCACTGCACACACACGTGCTCAATGTCATAACAAACTATAAAACATGATACATGTTTGTGTTTACGTTAGGCCACGTGGTAGTAGATTTTTTCCAAAATCCATGTTATCAACCCTCTCTACTACCCAACAAGATTGTCACATGTACAAAGATATGAATTATCCCTGCCAATGTATTAATCTAATTTTGATAAATAAAGCTACTCCTCACCAGTGGTTTAACATTTTCACAACTGAATTTATTGGTCAGAATTTGAGGAATACATTGACATATATACCTTTGGAAACTTGACGATCATGTCAGGTAGAGTTAATGACAAGAAATTTGGCATAAAAATACCATATTGCCTAATCCAAACACTACAATGGATCTTTGTGTTGGCTACGAGAATGCACATTTTAAGTTGACTCTTACACACGGCGAGTATCTCCACACTATAATGCGAGAACACAATCCTGTGCCGACATGGAGGCGGGGTGCTGATGTGACAGTACCTCAGCACCACGACGATGGGACTCTCGCTGTTCGTCACCACCATGAGGCCTTTCCAGATCATTAGCGCCGACGACACGATCATGCCGAAGTTGAGTACTTGGTAGTAAAGCTGCACACGCAGTCAACACGCAGTGTGAGAAACGTCACGTCGCAAGCTTAGGCGACCTCATCGAACTTTCTATTGTCAAAGAACGGACATTTGAGTGCAAGACTTCTACAAAAGACCTTCCTGCCTAGTTGAACGCAAGTATTCACAGGGCTATGGACATTCTGAATACCATTTGTAGGCTGTTCTTGCACCGATTGCTATTTGCTTCATTGCTCTAGTTCAGTGGTTTTCAAACCTTTCAGTCTGCGTACCCATTTCAAAATAATATTGCCTACCGCATACACCCGAGATCATAATCTTAATATATCCTGGAGAAATTCGATGAGCTATGTAGCTCTTTCTCACAGATATCCAGGTCAGAAAGTTACAATACAAAAAAAAACTATAGGAGTGTATAGGAAAGGTAAGCAAATAACATAAAAAAACTTTCATTTTACAAGGTAAGGCCGACTGAGCTATTAGCTGTTTTTCAGAAGCGATGTGGACACAAAGGATAGTTCAACGAAGTGGCTTATCACGTGGAACTTTATAGCAGCCAAATACTCTAAACGCGTGTTTATTCTAAATATGGGGGAAAAACCTGGAGAAAAATCTACGCGACCACAGGGAAAAAAACATGCAAACTCCAAATATACAACAGCCATCTGCATCGGGATCGAACCCACGAACCTCCTGCATACCAAGCAAGGAAGACATCATCACGCCACCGTTGCAACCCTTAAACTAACGAATAAAGTGTGAGTTCAAAAAATAGTCTTTGTGTTTAAACAATACAAATATTATTGTCTGCCATTATACAATTGTTCTCGCGTATCCCCTGACGAGTGTTCCCGTACCCCAGGGGTGCGCACGCACCAAAGTTTGAAAACCGCTGGGCTAGTTAATTAAAATGTTTTGCTTTTGTTATTTTGGAGACTTGTCTCAATCTTAAAAAGGATACTATCCTGGTTTCTCGAGTTCTCACCTGGTCAAACAAAATAATGTTAACTTGAAACAGGATCTATCGAATCTGGATTTAAATCCCCCTTCAATAAATGGGCGAACCAGAGCCCAGCTGTTCTGCCTTTGAGCGAGCTGGGCCCCGCGCCTCCAAGTCACATCACAACTTTTGTCCACTTTTGAGATTGCGCGCGTTGCAAGTTTGTATTTTTTTATTGATGGTAAATAATCATTAATTACCGAAACACCCAGCCAAGTGTCAGACCGCATCTGCATTCACTACTACGCAAAACTATCAACGCTATCTAAATCTTCACGTGGAAGCTCCAGTTGACACGAAACTATAGCAGTTTAAAAGGCGGGACACATTTTACCGATCCACGTGGATTGAATGCTCGGTCGGAGTTGAGGAAAATGTGGCGAGATGTTAATTACCTCGCCTGGTATACAGGAGTTAGTGGGTTCGATCCCGACCCTGATGCCTATATATCTGGAGTTTGCATGTTCTCCCCGTGGTCGCGTGGTTTTTCTACGGGTCCTCCGTTTTTTTCCTCCACATTTAGAATCAAATGCGTTTAGAGTATTTGGGTGCGATACATTTTCCCACCAGCCACTTCGTTATCATTCGTGATCGTCAGGTCGCTCCTGAAAAAGAGCTATATAGCTAGTAGGCAATACCTGGTAAAACAAAGTGTTATAGTTTAAAGTTTGTTTTGTCACAAGGGTTTTTTTTAGACCTGGCAAATGAGACACAGTTTTGCAAAAAGCAAGAAAACTAAAATAATAACAAGACGTCGCGGTCTGTTTTATTCATAACATTCCCGACACGTTCCTACGGGGCCGGAAACCATATGGACACAGCAGCCGCCACCGCGGAGGGGGCCCACAGACCACGAAGTCAACACGCACCGCAGCAACACGAGGGATACCACGAGCAGCAACACGGGAGGGGAACTGATAGAGGGGAGCTAAGAGGATAAGTTGAGGGAAGGGAGCTGAGAGGGAGTTTAAACATAGAACAGATGAAAGAGGGGAGCTGGGTGGAGGAGGCGATTGTTACGGGGAGCTGAGAGCAGATATCGACTAAGGGGAGCTGAGAGAGATCTGTACGGGAAGCTCAGAAGACAACAGCTGAGAGAGATCTGTACGGGAAGCTCAGAAGACAACTGCGAGGGGTAGCGGAAGTAAGAGCGCTACAGGGTGGGGGAGGCTGAGGGCAGCTGAGGGGAGCTGAGGGCAGCTGAGGGGAGCGCTGTGAGGAGGGGCCCCGGCCCGGCGCCTGCGCAGGACAAAGCGAGGCTCCGGGGACCAGGGCCTGGGCGCCAGGCCCGGACCGCCTCGCGCTCTCTGCGCACCGCGTTGCTCCGTGTCCCGCACCTGCCGCTTGTTCATCCTGCGCACGTCGTCCAGCACGTGGAGGCCGCACAGGGCGCGCAGGGTCCCCAGGGCACGGGGGGCCGAGGAGGGCGACGACGCTGCAGAGGAGGCGGCCATGACCGCGGCTGCGAGGAGGTGTGGAGACTAGCGGTGACGTCACGCGTCATGTGATCCAGTCACCGACATCCACGCTGCGTCCCCTTGCGTGGGTGGGGGTTAAGAGTCAAGGTACGAGGTAGGGGGTAGGGTTAGGCGTTAGATACGGGGAAGAATTAGGGGTCAGGATACGGGGTAGGGTTAGGGGTCAGGATACGAGGTAGGGAGTAGGGTTAGGCGTTAGATACGGGGAAGAATTAGGGGTCAGGATACGAGGTAGGGTTAGGGGTTAGATACGGGGCAGAATTAGGGGTCAGGATACGGGGTAGGGTTAGGGGTCAAGATACGAGGTAGGGGTAGGGTTAGGGGTTAGATACGGGGCAGAATTAGGGGTCAGGATACGGTTAGGGGTCAGGATACGAGGTAGGGGTAGGGTTAGGGGTTAGATACGGGGCAGAATTAGGGGTCAGGATACGGGGTAGGGTTAGGGGTCAAGATACGAGGTAGGGGTAGGGTGAGGGGTAAGATACAGAGCAGAATTAGGGGTCAGGATATGGGGTAGGGTTAGGGGTCAGGATACGGGATAGGGTTAGGAGTCAGGATACAGTGTAGGGTGAGGAGTCAGGATACGGGGTAGGGCTAGGGGTCAGGATACGGAGTAGGGCTAGGGTTAGGATATAGAGTAGGGCTAGGGTCAGGATATGGGGTAGGGGTCAGGATACGGGGTAGGAGTGAGGATATGGGATAGGGGTCAGGGTTAGGGAAACTCAAGCATCACGGTTTTGGACTGAGCTCGGCATGGTGGTGTGCTCAGGATAGGGTCACTTGGCGTCGTCCCGGGACTCTGGAGGCCGACGCCCATCCCACCGCCCTCGCTGGGCAGGTGGGGCGCAACGTCCATCCCTTCCACTTCCTCCTCTTAACACGCGCACACACCACAGCTAACGCGACGGCGTGAACGCACGTGCACCTATGGGCGGTTATGTCCTAACACGTGCACACA